CCCCAAAACCCCAAAACCCCAAAACCCCAGGGCTTACAGGATAATAATATTATTTTGGAAACAAATGGAGTCTCACGAGCAAAGGGTAACGCAAAGCAGGAGTGTTGACTCACAAGGTGCGGAATTGGGTTAAAATACCTTGACAATTTGTCCTCCAGCCTGACTTGTTTGCAGCAAGGTCAATTAAGAATTATTGTCAAAGCCATTAGAAGTACCTCAAAGTGTTTGAAGCTAGCTCACATTTTAAGCAAGAAGGTTTCCGATGAGAGCTGCTTTATGAAAAAGAGACTCCAGATCCCTTTAAACGCACATTTTAGGAGATTTATGTTTGAATATGAAATTTAGCTTCATTGTAACTTTACTATGTTGGTTAAGATAGAATATTAAATGTTAGAACCTTAGATATTAAAGCATGCCCACGTGTAATCACCTCTAGTATAGAACCAACTAATAAGGAAACAACAGAGAAGAGAAGGTAAGATGTCCTATTAAATTCCTGATATGGATCTGTAAAACTGGAGAATCTATCATTCCTTGCTTTCTCAAATTAATTTGTTAAAACTTGATGTCATACTCTTGACTACCACCTCCAACCATATATTTCCAGTGATTAGAAATTAGTTATTGATCAAGCGAATGCTCATTTCTAGCTTAAGATTTCAGCATTAGTTAACCCTATAATCGATTTACCAGATCAACCAAACAACTATAACTATTAGTATTTAGAAAAGGGGATCAGATTGAGCAAGAATCAGCAGAGATTAATGCCCAGTTATACCAAAGCATTTACTTAAAAATGTGGAAATATGAGCCCGAACCAAGTAAACGTACAGGAATGTCTTTATCTCTCGATCGTTACAGGTAAACTAAAGGAGATTGATATGCTCTAGAGACTTAAAATTGACTCAAGTAATTTCAAAGGTAAAGATACCAGTGATGTCAAGTTTGGGATTAATTCAAGCTGATTTTGAAAATAAACATTTCAGAAATTTTGTTGCGAAATCTACTCCAATAGCCACTAAGAGCTTATGTATATACAGAATGAGAAGGGAGAAGAAGCTCAGGAATTTGAATTTACTTTTCAATTGTTTAATAACTACACCTAAAATGATTCTAATACATCAGCTCAGAAAGTAAGTCCAGAGCTCAATCTCTAGCATCAGCCTAAAGCAGTTGAAGAGATTGTTTGCTTCGTGCAAACATAGTGATTCTCTTAGGTTCGTTCATTGTACATTCTCTCTCCCAAGTGATCTTGACTTTTCAGATTGATTTAGAGGAACAACCCTTATGCAACTAAATTTTAATTCCTGAACAATGGTCAACCAGAATGACACAGATGAAAAATTTCATGAGCTTGAAAGCCTCATTTCAGGATTAGCAAAATCCCCTGATCTTAAGAAGAGCCTTGAGTTGGTCAAAATCCACAGTTCAAGACATTCTAGCAAGCTCTGTGAGCTAACCCTGGCAAAATATGGATTTCCTCCTACATAAATTGATCAAAATCTATACTTTCCGGACCTATCTTGCTGTTCTGTTAGAAGAGGGATAGGATCATTGAAGCACTTCTAAGCTCCAAATATGTCAGAATGAAATCATAAATGATCAACTTTGGTTTGCATATCTTCAAACTCTTTAATAAATCATGCCTCCAAACCTTCTGAATAAATTTTATACTGTAGACAGATTTCTTTAGACTGATAATAAAGTCATTCAAATTCCAAGTAAACTTTTAGTCATGCTCCTTGCCTGGCGCAATTACAGGATTGATTAACCACTTTATGGTCTTCGTTATGAACGGATAGCTAAAACTCTCTGGATATGACAAGTGAGCCCAGACAAGCCTCGGAGTTTCTCCTCTGTTTGGATGAACCAAAACTGTAAGCAACACAAAGCTAGTAGAAGATTTAGTTTGCCATTAAGCTTTTGGGTTTCATGGACCCATCACTGTATTAGATAGTGCTAAAAGTTGAACTGCCTCTCACAGAGAATTGTACTATCCAATTGCGCGAGCACTGAGTCCTGGGATAGTTATTTATTTTAACGACCAAAGTTGGGTGTTCATAACTCATGCCGCCTCAGAGTCTGTCCACTATTTGTCTTGTGATATACTATTGAGAGCAGATAGGATGCCAATGTTGAAATACAAATTTTATACACCTTCAAATGAAGTTTATAAGGAAATACCAGAAGAGGACTTTTGCTGCAGAACAACTGGGAGCACATTCACATTTAAAGTCAATATCTCCCCCAAAAGCTAGAGCTTTGAAGCTATTGATTTTGCATTGGGAGATAAGAGTTAGAAGTTTTGTCCAGGCTCAGGTCCCATGTCAAAATCTCTTGGCACAAAATGACTGTTAAACAACCATTAAGTTCAATTCTTAAGATACTTTACTTAGGCATGCCATTAAAAAGTCTGTATGAGAAACAGTTTTGGACAAAAAGACCCGATCGGAGAGATATCCTAGCCCAGTCCCATTTCAATAACTGTCCTATAAAATGGGGTTTTGGGGTTTTGGGGTTTTGGGGTTTTGGGGTTTTGGGG